GAGGGATAGAGAGTTAGAAACATTGATAAGAGAGAAGCATCGATCAGCTGCCTCCTGCACACCTCCTACTGGGGATGTGCCCGCAACCAAGGTACATGCCCTTGACTGGAATCGAACCTGGGACCTTTCAGTCCGCAGGCCGATGCTCTGTCCACTGAGCCAAACCAGTTAGGGCATGGTGGTTGATTTTTTTTAAGGTATGTACCTTTTCTACAGTGAGAAGTGTCTGTAGGTGTATGTGTATGTGTCGTGTCCCAACTCAATTCTTGGGTAAGTTACACAGCTCATATAGGCTTCAGTTTCCTTCTCTCTGAAACTCTATGAAGAAGAGTTAATTATAGAATCTACTAGGGGCCCAGTGCACGAATTCGTGCACCTTGAAAGGAACTGTGGGCCGAGAGGCTGCGGTAGGCACAGGGGCAGGTCTTGGCCTATCCTCTGTGCCTCTGCCCGGCCCCTCCCACCGTGGCCCCCGGTCCCGTCTGCCAGCAGCCCCGCTCTGCCGCTGCCGCTCACACCTGCTGATAGCGCAGAGCAATTGGGGCCGGTGCCGCCAGCGGGTGTGAGTAGGGCCAGCACCATCAGCGGGTGCGAGCAGCAGCTGCTGCCCTGATCACCCCTAAGGAGCACAGGAAGGTGGAGAAGCCCTCTGGGGTGATCAGGGCTGGCAGCAGGTGCGAGCGCTGGACGGGACCACGGCGTGTGGGAGCAAAGAATTTTCAGTAACCACCAGAGGCTCGTCATGATGACAGCATCCAGCGCCCCTCCTTGGCCTGGCACCCCCTCTCACCTGCTCCACCATCCTGCCATGGCCAACGCCCACCATGTTCTGCACCCTACCACCTGCTGCGGATGCCTGCCATGTTTCGTGCGCACCCCCTGGTTGTTCGGTTGTTCTGCCATTCGGTCTATTTGCATATTAGGGTTTTATATATATAGATTTTGTAGGATTCTTGGGAGGCTAACCCTGGAGATGGCTAACGTGAGGATACTGAGCAAGGTGCTTGTATTTGTTTCCTGTGGCTGCTATAACAAATGATCACAACCTTGGTAGCTTAAAACAACACAAATTATCCTAGAATCATGGAGGTCAGAAGTCCAAAATAGGTCTCACTGGGCTAACATTAGTGTGTTGGTTGTACTGCATTCCTTCTGGGGGCTCTAGGAGACACTCTGTTCCCTATTTCCCCAGCTTTTCGAGGCTTCCTGCATTCCTTGGCTTGTGGCTTCTTCAAAATGAGCAATGGCTTGTTGAATCTTTCTCACACTGTGGCTCTGGCACATACTACCTCACCTCCCTTTTCTGCTTGTAAGAACCTTGTGCTCACCTGAGTAATCCAGGATAGGTTTTCCACCTCACATTCCTTAATTGACATCTGCAACATCCCTTTTGCCATGTAAGGTATGTAAGGTAACATAGTCACAGGTTCTGAGGCTGAGGATGTGGACACCTGGGGCAGCATTATTTTGCCAACAGTGCTCAATCCACACATTGTAGGTGATCAGTAAAGCTTGGCTATTATTACTGGAATTATAGACAGTTTCTTAAATATTGTTAAATAGAGCTGAAACACTTTTGAGCCATACAGTGTGGTTTTCTATTAATATTTTCACAGGAAATAGTCACCATTATTTCACTCCAAAAGTGGGTTAAGTGATTCACTTTTGAAAATTTCCTCAGCCATTTTGCTTTGATGGTCGAAGGAAATGGTATTCATTGGTAGCCCTAAGGAAGACAACTTTACTTTCATTGTGTAGTAATAACTAGCAGTTATTGAGAACTGTGTGCTGTGAACTATTTCAGGTAGTTATGTATGTACTAGAAGGCCCATGCACAAAAAATTGTGCACTAGCAGGAAAGGGGGGTCCCTCAGCCCAACCTGTGCCCTCTCACCGATCACACTGCTGCTCGCCCTGCCCGCCCTCCCCACCCCGGCCAAGACATGGCAGGCCCGATCCCACCCTGGGGCGA